CAAATTTTGAATGGCACCCAAGGTTTTAAGTGGTAAAGCAACATGCAACTCCTTGGTTGAAAGGTAATTTTGAAAATCAATTTGGCCTTTCAAGTATGTTACATGTGGAAGCATTGGTAACACTCTTGCTGCTTTTTTTTCCCCTTTTTTCTTGCTTTACTCTGAATACTTTTATGTTCACTTTTACTAATCTAGAGGGATTATTATTGTGCCTTTTTTTTACCCATACAATTTATTTTGAAAATGACTTTTTTTAAGTTTCTTCCAAGTTAATTAAAACGAAATATATGCAACATGAATAATGGTTTTATCATAAAAAGGAAAATAAACTTAAAAATTGATTGCCCTTCAGGGGATTCACAAAAGCTAACCCAGCCAGTAATTAATAATAAAATGACCTCCACCTTCTAAACTAAGCTGCAATTTCAAAGTGGAATGAAAACCACAGTAAAGCAAATCAATCAAACTTTTAATCCCAATACAGTGAAATAATATTAAATTTGAATGGACATGGGGAATGTTGTTTTGCCACTTTTTAACTTTTTTGGGGTTTTTATTTTTTTTTCATGGAATTTAACTTTGGTACTTTTTACTTAAGGTAAAAAGTTTATGAATGCAGAAAACTTTTTAAAATGTATTTGAAGGATCCGAAGTAAATTTTTCTTCCCTCTCGCCTCGCGCGCTTCACACACACCATAGAATAACAGGTAAAACATTTTAAAAACAAAATTTGGTTTTGGTTAAACAGCTCAGTATAACTAAGCAAAAGGTCAGTGGGGGGTTACAAGGTTGGTTTTGGGTGGTTTTTAAAATTTCAAGGCCACAAAGAGAAGAAGCATTCCCCCTGTGGTTTTATGCTTCCTGTTTAATTCTGAATTTTGTTTGTTCAGGCTATATTAAAGTTCAATGGCCAAACGTGGTTTTCCTCCAGCAAAGCTTTCACTCTCCAGAGGAGGGAAAACTGCAACCAGCAGAAGGAGGAATTGGGAGGAAACAGGAAATGAAAGAAGCAATGGCGAGGCCCAAGGCAAAAAGCACGGTGAAAAAAAGAGGTGGAGGAGGTGGAGAGAAACAGCAAGGGAAAAGAAAAACCGTGCCAGGGGGGCTGGCCAGAACCAATGTGGCCCTGCTTCGTGAGGTTTGCAACCGGTGGAAGCGCAAAAAACGCTTCACCCGTTTTTTTGAAAATGTAGCAAAGGCCCAAAACAAAAAGAAAAGGTCCCCCGACGGCACAAGGCGAACCCCTTGCGTGTTCTGCTACTTTATACTTCTACTCTACTACATCTAGGAGGGATATATTGTGCTTTTTACTCCACTACATTTATTTTGAATGACTTTAGTTTCTTTTCAAGTTATTAAAACAGAATATATGCAACAAATGATAGTGTTATCATAGATAAAGATAAAACTTAATTGATGCTCAGGGGAAATCCACAAGCTACCCAGCAGTATATAAAGTAATTAAAATGATCTCCACCTCTACTAGCTGCAACTTTCAAGTGATGAACACAGTAATGCATCAATAACTTTAATCCAATAACACAGTGTATATATTATTCTGAAATGGACCATGGATGTTGTGCACTTTTACTTTTGGGGTTTAAGTATGTTTTCATGGAATAACTTTTGTACTTTTACTTAAGTAAAGTTATGAATGCAGGACTTTTACTGTATTAGAGGATCTGAGTATTTCCTCCACTTCTGCATGGCGTGTCAAACTTAGAATACAAGGTAACATTTAAATCAATTTTGTGTTACACTACAGTATAACTACAGCAAAAAAGGTGTCAGTGGTTACAGGTGGTTGGGTGTTAATCAAGGCCACAAAAGAGAAGAAGCAATTCCTGTGTATGCTTTCTGTATCTGATTGTTGTCAGGCTATATTTTTAGCTCATGGCCAACGTGTTTCCCTCAAGCAGCTCTCACTCTCAGAGGAGGGATGCACCAGCAGGAGGAGGATGGAGACAGAGGAATGAAGAGCAATGGCGAGGCCAAGGCAAAGCACAGGTGAGAGAGGTGGAGGAGGGTGAGAGACAGCAGGGGAAAGAAACCGTGCCCAGGGGGGCCTGCCAGACCATGTGCCCTGCTCGTGAGTTGCAGAACCGTGAAGCGCAAAACCGCCTTCACCGTTTTGAAATGTTAGCAGGCACAGAAAGAGGTCGACGGCACAGGGCGGACCCCTTGCGTGCTGTCAAAGAGTATTCCAGACCAGCAGCTGGGAAAGACTCAACGAACCCCACTGACCTCCGTCCACCCGCTGTGCTGCTGAAAACTGTGTGTTACCTTATTGATGACATCGCTGCCTCCCCCCACCTGCATCCATGGACTGAGGCTAGTAGTGTTTACATATAGTTTACCACTTAGTTTTACTATTGTTAATTACAGTTTGGTCATAAAAAAATGCATCTTCTATATCAAGGACACTTTTGTTTTTGTCTATACACCCTAAATGACGTTTTATTTTACTGTAACATGCAAAAAGTTAGCCAGAGCAGCTTCATGTAAGCTTCCCTTCAGAACAGCATACATGTCCAGGAACCTGGAGTGCAATTGTTGTTTGTTTTTACATAGCACAAGCTGTGTGTTATGGTGACAAAACCGCCACTGACCATAGAGTTATATGTTTTATAGAAAAGCTAACTAGGGGGAGACGTAATTTAAGGATCTAGGCTGAGGGCTAGTAAAAGTGATTCTGACATGGCCAATTTGTTACTAGCCCAGTAAGAAAGCTGTAATATTGAAGTCTTCACAACATATACTCTTATTAAAATCTAACTTGTCTTCCAGGTGTACAGCTTTGTCTTTGATCGCCTGCGTGGTGTGAAGCAGGACATGATCATTCAGAGGGTGTCTGGGTTGAACTGTGTAGCCATTTTGGAGCGAACAGTGCGTTTCCTCATCTATGCCTCTTATCGGCTTTGTGGTGAGCCCCTGCGGCTCTACGACCCACGCATTAATGACACGCACCTACAGGAGAATCTGAGCTGGCTGTTGGATTGCTACACAACTGAAACAGGACCGCATCCCAACCAGGAAGAGTTCCAGGCTCTTGGTCTGCTGTACAACTTGGGTTGGTAACATGTATTGTGTACAATGTACACTTAAAAATTCCCTGAAAAATAAAAACAGTGAAAAATAAAATGGGAAAGGTGTTCTTGGGACATGGTTAGGATATTTTTTTTCTTTCTTTCCTCTCCTCCCCCAGGTTCTGCCCGTGCCACACAGCACATCATGGAGCTCCCTGAGAGGCTCCGCAGTTCTCCTGCCATTACACTCGCTCTTTCAATCAACAGAGCTTATCTGGAGCGAAACCCTGTATGTTTGCTCCGATTGGCTCAGAGATTGAACTTCCTGCAGAGCTGTGCTCTCCACCGTCACCTGGTGACATGTCGCAGAGATCTGCTGCTAGTGTACAGCCACGGACACAGCAGCCGCAACTGTCGCTTTCCTCTTGACAGACTAGCTCAGCTCTTGTCCTTAGACGTGTCACTCACAGCCCAATTCTGTCAGGCGTACGGTGTGGAGGTTAACCAGGACAACCAAGTGGTTTTCTCCAAGGCTGCTTTCACTGAGCCTGAGCCAGGGAAACTGCACTGCAAACTTTATCACAACATAGTGGCTGAAAAACAGAGAGACCTCACTGTTGGGAACATCATCCATGGCTGCGCTTGATACAAATAAAAGGAGTAAATCAGTAATACACGTAATGTGACGCTTAAGGCATTCATAGGGAAAATGTCAGTTAGCTGCTGTCACTCCACGGTGCAACTGGCAGGCATTTAAAGGCTTTTTTTAAGGACACCTAAGCAGTGAAGCTGTTTCGTTCATCTTCCTGCTCTTTTTATAATGTTATTGGATTTGAGCCTCTGGGCTCCCATCTAGGATGCCCAACCAGTGTGTCAGTATGTTTTACCAATTCAGATTATATATGTTCAACACAAGGGTCAGGGTTATTGTGGAGCCAAGGGTCTGCTGCGCTCTACCTGAGAGAGACTGAACTACTGAGAGTAATGTTCCTCTTGGGTCTGGAGGTGCTTCTTTCATCCTCATCTCGCACTTGGTGCCTGAATCACCTTAAAATGTGAATTACTTTTATATTGTTACTTGTCTGTGGTTATATTGATACTGTTTAAATGTTATGTGAATGCCATTATGTTTTTGTGTAGTATTTCAGAAAATGTGCTGGAAAATCGACCGTGCAACAGTGTTTATTTTTATCAATGCAGTACCTCAAAAGCATTTCAATAAATTTTGCTACCTAAAAGGGAATGCCTTAGTCCTTTTTATTTGAACTGAGACTTTGTTGCATCTAAGCTCCTTTACCACTTGAGGGCAGCAGATATCTGCAGAGGACATTAACGCTCTCCAGCAAGTACAAAAATAAGCGACTAAAATGTAAGATAATCCTTCTTCAAGTGATTCTTTTGTGTGGTTTTTGAAAACGTTGTTATCCAGCTTGGCAATCTTGTGATGTTTTCCAACTCTTAAGGAACTGGTTGTGGCCGGTAGATCCCCCTTTTTTCTTTTCTTTTTTTTTTAAGATGTCAGCTGAACTAAAAGTATGTGAAATGTGCAGGTAATTTACAGCGGCCTGGGGTTAGTCATGCTCTCGCAGCAGCAGCACAGAAGTGAGAGGAGGTATTGAAGTGAATGAAGCGCAGCCTGACGCCGATCGCCTCCTGACTTGCTGCTGGAGGAGCGGAAAAAAAAAAAAAAA